CATTCCACCTTAAATGGTGCCTGAGGCAGCAGAATGTAACAGCTGCACTGTTTAAGATGGAACAAGAAAATTTGAACAAGAAACTGGCAACTTTGAAACTCACCTTAGCTTCATGATTTTTAGTGTTTGACAGTTTCTTGTTGCAGATTAAACGTGTCAGGAAACCAGCTGAGTAATTCTAAATGCAAATACATTGTCTCCAAATTACTGATGTTCAGCTTAAATCTCTTTAAATCTCTCCCCTTTTCGTTGCTAAACTGTTGTCTGTGTTGCTGTGATCAGCAATCTGCACACTAACCTTCTGTGTTAAGGGGTGAATTAGCAAATATAGGCTATATTAACTCCATTATTTAAGATAATTTATTGTTAAAACTGTCTTAGAACGATCAGCAGAGCTTTATTTTACTTTATTTTATTTTTACCTAAAAATCTAATTCTGCTGTGGAGCCGCAACAGGGCAGTAAAAGAGTCTCTGAGCTAGGCCATCTGAAAGTACTAAATACACTACTGTCTGTGAATACAAGGCATAGTCTAACCAGGTTTTAGCTATTTGTTAGAAATGTAAAACAGCAGTCGCAGAGCTCTTTGCCTCCAGGGTATAATATATGTTAATGTTTGTAACAAGCTTCTAATAGCATATATAAATGTCTTTTACATGCTTTAAATGTCTATGTTTAATTTAGAACAGATAAAAAGTGTTTGTCACAGCTTACCACTGATCTATATGTATATGTGTATGCATAGACAGAAATAATCCTTTCCTTACCACCACTACGTAACCTCAAACCCCATTTCTTCAAGTCTCCTTTTGTCAGTATTTCACTGCTTACCTCCTCCTCCTATCTACTCTTTCTCTCTTTGTTTCTCTCTCTCTCTTTCTCTTTTTCTCCAGCATCTGTCCTGTTTTCTATCATTTCCCGCTGTTTATATTTCCATCTAATTTTCCTCTTGCTGTGAATTGAGCATAATGAGGGACCGACACTAACTCACACATCATCTGTCCGCTCTTCTCTCACAGCTCTTCATTCTCTAACAGTGCGTACATTTCTGTTAGCTTTCACACTGCCTCCTCACCCACCCAAGACCACCGTACTTAATCTGCACTCAAGGAATTGAACCTATTGGTTGGTTGACTTACAAACTGAAAATATGTTGGTGTTAAATATGTCAGTATTTTATGTTGAAGTAAGTCTATAAATGCTGAATCTATTCTATGTTATTCAATTGAACGTGTGGCACTATTAATTAAAGGAATTTTGCAGTGCTTTAAAGATTATGTTTATATGTCACATCTGCATCGTAAGGCAGACAATACTGTACTGTACTAAGTAAAAGAATAGAAAATATTTTGTCTTGAAACAAACTTTTAATGGACGTCAATGCAGCAACTGCCCATTGACCTTTATTATAAGCGTGTTTTAAGCCAACGTGTTTTGTGACACTGCAAGCATAGATAGCTTATGTTAACAGGACTGTATGTTGTACACATAGCATATAGAGATTAAGCTGAAAAACACTGGAGTATTCCTTTATATTCAAAGAACAATTTATTTTTGAATGCATCTCAACTCCACCTGCACCACACACTCCATGTAGGTCATTGGCACCAGTGCACCATGGGAAACTTCTGTTTATAGACGCAAAAACACTTCAGCTCCCATCTGAGCTGTTACCACTCAGAGAAAACTCCTCACTCAGTAACAGTGAGCATTCAGGCCGCATCCTCAGCTCAACCCAAATGCCATTAAAGTTTTACAGCGATGGGGAGTGAGGGAGAAGTGAAGAGACGGGGTAGAGTGGGGGAGGAGAAAAGAAAGTGGGGTGGATAAAAAGGTAAGGACGACACATCAAGATATTGGAGGAATACTTTGGCTAGAATTGCTAACATGCATAATAAATCATCGCTAGTTAAGGCTAACAAACCTCTCACTACATCTCATTCGTTATGAGCAATGCTAGCAGTTTAAAAATGAAATATTCCTTTAAAAAGACTTGATGAAAGACATGCACCAAGACAGGACAAGACATCAAGAGTGTGTGTGTTTGTGCGCAGCTTATGTTGAAAAATGAGGTTCACAGGTCTGACCGCACCTAAAGTCTCGCAATGATGAAGAAAAGTGAGTTTTGCAGCACCATCTAGTGGCTGAACATTGTATTACAGTTGTAATCACTTAAGAATCAATTATCTAAATAGCACAGCAAATGAGCCAAGAGTTCAAAGAGAGCAAAAATGTTACACTGTAGCTAATCATTACAAGGCAAAAAAGGCCCAGTCACTTTTCATTACATTCCTAAATACCGCTTTTAGTCAATGATTACAGGGTTATAAATTGATGTTTTGCTTAATTAAAGTACTGAATTAAAAACATTGCATGGCTTTGGGAGGAAAAGCAAAGAGCAAAGGAGATGCTAAAGTATACACACACACTCACACAGATGACTTCAAAAGACATGCAAACTGCCCATAAGCATATCATCACCGTCTCATCAAAATCTTGTATCTTTATTTTTTCTTCAACCATTTGAAAAGCTACCTTTTACATTTATGAACATGTAATGATGTATAAGGCAACACAAACGGTCCAAGATTACTTCGATTAACATACAGTAACACACAATGGCAAGAAAATGTATGTGAACCCTTTGGAATGATCTAATTTTCTGCAGTACATCATCAAAAAATGTTAAAAGTCCAATGTATGGACACAATATGTTAAAGCTAATGACACACAACCAGTTATAACATTTCATGTCTTTATTGTGCACACCAATTAAACATTCACAGTGCTGGCGGAAAAATTAAGAGTTAAGTGTGAACCTTCTTTGGCAGCAATAACCACAAGCAAGTGCTTCTGCTAGCTGCGGTTCAGACCTGCATGATGTTCAAAAAGAAAACTGGGCCATTCTTCCTTACAGAACTGCTTCAGCTCAGCTGTGCTCTTTGGAAGTTTGGTGTGAAAGGCTTTCTTGAGGTTATTCCAGATCATCTCTGTTGGGTCTGGGCCCTTACTGGGCCACTCTAAAAGGCAGATTTTTTTTAAGCCAATCTGTAGTAGATTTACTTCAATGTAACTTTCAGTTCAATTGAACTGAAATTTGTGTGTTTGGGTTCCAGTGTAAGTACACTGGTGCAATATGGCTGCCGGTTAACATTGTTTTTTCATTTATTTTGTATTGTTTGTGTATATATTTGGGTATTTCCCCACTGGCAGAGGAATTTGCCATCACATCCACCGAGATAGTAGTTGTTGAAGAGACACTACATCACAGCTATGAGGCTGCTCGAATTGGTCACCTGTTCTACGCTACATCGCAGGCACATGCCTACTTGGGTGAGGCTGCCTGGACTGGTGGTGTCAACTGCATAAAAAAATTGTTACCCCTTCATGGCTAAGGACATTCCGAGGCTTTCCGGGCTAGCCGCCTGTGTGACGCTACACTGTGAGACCTTCTCTGCAGCTAAGGACTCTTTCCAGGCTAGCTAAGTGACTCTATACCACGGTCTGGGGAATCCCGTTTGACAGCTGTGGGAACTCTGAGAATGTGTGTTGTTTTATTTATTTTTGATTATATACTTTGTTACTTTTGTAAAGTGTCTAATTGTAATTCATCCTTGAGCATGGAAAAGGTGCTATATGAATGAAAGTGATGATGATGATGATGATGATGATGATGGCGATGACGACGATGATGATGATGATGATGATGATGATAATCATTTAGGGTCACTGACTGGCTGCATTACTCAGCTTCTATTGGGCATTAACAGGTGAACAGCCACCCTGATATAAATAGGTAGGATACATTATTATACATGCCTTATTTTGTGTTATTATGTTAAACAGATTCAAAATTTTACAATTTGTTTGTGTTATTATTTTCAACATGTTTAATATTTTAAAATGACTTTATACCCAACTGCAAGTCATTCCAAAGGGTTCACATCCTTTTTCTTGCTACTGTGCTTTCAAGTTAAAAAGGTTTTTCTTTCTTCTGTAAAGTTACCTTTATCCCTTTTCTGCATAAATTATGAAACACACATGAAATAAAAGTTTTCTGGTATTAAAAAATGGCATAATTACTATAAATATGTTGAGGTGTAAAAAGTGTATTTTTGGGAAGGGTGCTTTGCATTTTGTTGGTTATGGCATGCAACAACGGAACTGAACTCTTCAATGCATACAAAAAAGTACATAAATGTACAAAAAAGTACATAAATGTTTGAAGAATATAGAAAGTAATCTGACAAAAATTATATACAATATACTGATAAAAACAACAGCTTGATCTCTAATGGACCTATAGTACGCTCCCATTGTATGCACTGCATTGCAGCTCCATTGTTGCATGCTGTTGCCATATGGCAACGATAATATTTTAACATTTTACGTAATATCTTTTGCTTGTGCTTAGATTACTCAGAAGGCCGTCTTTTCCATAGAAGAAATGAAAAAATGGACTTTTATATTATAATTAGGCTGAACATGTTATAAAAAGCCATTGTTGCCATACGGCAACATGATTGTTAAGGTTTTGTATGAACAATGATGTTAGGAAACACTGCTCATAAACATGCTATTCCATTTTCTTCATCATAAATAGTTGCATGTGGTCATGTTTGCTGTTTTGACCTCTAAACCGGAAATAGAGCTTAGAGGGTTGCACACAATCTGATTACTAACTTCAATTAGCGCTTCATACACTCTGTGGTCAAACGCAGCACAAGGTTAGTTCTTCAAGAGTTCAGCACTGGCTGACAGTAGGCTTATTATAGCACTGTAAGAGGTGTTAGCAGACAACCTTCACATCTTGCACAAGTCGCAATACATTGTGAAAAGAGTGGGTGGAAGAAAGATACGAGTGAGAAAGTGAGAGAGAGAGAGAGAGAGAGAGAGAGAGAGAGAGAGAGAGAGAGAGAGAGAGAGAGAGAGTGAGAAAGAGAGAGAGAGAGACAGACAGACAGACAGACTGACTGACTGACTGAATGGTAGATGTCTTACCTCCACGTACTCTCCATGGTTGTTGGTGGTGCCTGTTTGACTGTGAGGAGAAAAAAAAATCTTTATTAAAACTTAAGACCTCTCAAGCAGATATTTAGGCCAGTCCAGATTGCATCAACAGTGCAGAGAAAGAGATATTGGACCCCATAAGCAGTGAACAGTAAAGGCTGATTTGTAGTTTAAACAAAGCAACAAAAAATGCATTTTACTGAATTAGCTAGACCTACATGTAGGTCTCTGTGTCTCTTTATCTCTTTTTCTCTACCGTCTAGGTTTTTTAAGCTAATAAAAATATAAAGCTTATATTTAAACCTAACCTAACCTTAAGCCTTACCCCTCTATAAAGCTTTGCACATACCTGTTTGACAAAGACAAGATATGTATGACTCGACATGTAATATATCTAAACATTTATTATATATACTGTGTGGTATGTACACCTACGAAAGTCAGGGTGAAAAGTGACAAAGTACAAGTGAGTTACTGTACTTAAGTACCTTACTTAATCCATTGTACTTTTACTACATTTCAAATTTTCAAAGAAAAATCTTTATTTTCTACTCACTATATTTAAAATTCTCAATTCTCAATTTACAATTCTCAATTCTTGATGTATGCCCTACAAAAAAACCCTGATATTAAAATATATCATTTATATGATTTCGCAGATGATCCATACAACTCTACACTCTTAGAAAATATGGTTCTTTTAAGGTTCTTTAATAGAACCAGGAACACTCAAAGAACTATGTTTATGCTTAAATGGTTCTTTGTATGGTGAAATGGTCCTTCAGATTGATGGAGAAAGTGTTGTATATGGTTCTATGTACCACATATTTAAGCTTGATGAAACAAAGCAGAACTCTTTTTGGTGCTATATAGAGTGCACAAGTCCCTTGAGGAACCATCACCCCTGATGTAAGTCTACATGCATAACTGTGTATCTTGCTGGTTTAAAATGAAGTGTCTAAATGTTTTGATCTCTTATTTTCGCTTATTTTAAAGTCTGTCAGTGCCAAAGCAGGACAGAACTCTCCTCCATGTTACTGCTGACTGACTTCTTACACTGACCTCTTAAACTGACTGAACAAACATTCATAACATTGTTTACTGAACACTTAAGTATAATTTACACACTGGATCTACCTCAGAGAATACCACACACATTTTGCACATTTTGCACACACACACTGTCAGTACACTTCTGTGTGTCTAGTTTATCCTAAATTTACTATCTATTTATTCTTTATTGTATCTATTGTGTATACATGGTGTCTTCACAGGAGAAAGAAAAAACATACTTTACTTTTAAAGTAATTTTTGGACATCTCTTTTGGTCCATTCATCATGAAATTTAAACACAATGTAAAGGCCAATAGGCATTTTCAAATTATGTCAAAAACCGAAAATGGAGATTTTTCAGCAGAGACATTCAGGTTGTCTTATGAAATTCAATTAAATTCAGTTTTATTGGCCCACCCTTTATTTGTTATCCCACTAGGACATCTGCACTCATGTCCTAGTCTTAATGTTTATGCACCAGAGAAGTAGCCAGAATGGTTCGTTATACTGTACTCCTATATATGTATAAGGCCCATAAAGTTGAATTGAATTGGATTGAATTTCATAAGACAATCTGCATATCACTGCTGTTGGAACAAAACCTCATATCTCCATTTTTGATGTTTTTCAGTAAATTTCATGATGAATGGACCAAAAGAAATGGCCTAAAATGACTTGGAAAAATGTCTGGCTCCATTGACTTACATTAAATGTAATGTATGTTTTTTCCTTCTCCTGTAAAGTTACCATTTTGAACATACAAGTCTTTGTTCCGACAACAGTGATATACTTCTCCTAGATCATGCTGTGCAATCCTTTCCATTAACTCACTGTCGTAAAAATGCAGAGGTGGGAAATAATAATTTGGTACTGTACTTAAGCGTTATATTGGAAGATTTATTACTTGAGGATTATTAAAATACTTTGATTCAGTTACATTTCCAAGAGAAAAGCACACAAATACTTTTTTCCTTTAAAAAAAATTAAATCTTAAATTTTCCTTTAAAGCTTTTATATCTTTTTATAAAGCAGATCCGGTCCTGAAATCTGATTGGCTGAGCCACTTTTGAAGCTGATGTAAAATCCACAATAAACACTATGACCGCCTCACATTTATTACTGCGCCACAGCATGAAAAAACCCTTGTGCTGATAATAGAATAATCTTTGACTCTAATGCTGCTCACATGGACCACTGTGTGTACTGATAAAGTAAGAATCTGTTTTTTTATTTAAACTGAGGGGCTGAAAACTTATGTTCTTAACTAGAACTAGGCTGGTCAGCCCGCCAACAGGCTAATAGATAGCCAACAGCCTAAACAACTCCATCATTACTATTACAGGCACTAGGCTGAATCCCAAATGGCTCTGTACTCCCTAAATAGTGTGCTAGCTATGAATGTTTAGAAATACTACTTGATGGCAATTTAGTCACCAAAAAGCCATTATACAGCAAAAGTTTTTGCATTAAACAATGTTATGTTATCATATGTTTTGATACATTGATATACAACAAAAAGGTTTAAAAAATTCATAAAATGACAGCAGTATACAGTTATGGGCGACCGAATGTTATCCTCAAGCAGCGGTCCATGGTTGCTTGGCAACCATTCCATACCTAAAGGAACTTTCCTGGCGGAATACTTGTTTATGTCTTTTATTATTACTAATAACTTAAATTTTTTTCTGGACAATTGTTTATTTTATCATATTGTATGTTGACCGCCATTTAATAAAAGCAATAAGCCACTTGAGGCTGTGCGTTACTGCGATTTTATCATAGGGAAAAACTCCCTTCCCTGTAATAAAATCGCAGTAATGCACGGCCTCCAGAGGCTCATTGCTTTTATAATATAAACTTTTTAGGTGATTCACTGTTGCAGTGTGTAATGTTAAAAGATAAAAAAAAAAAAGAATATGTTGAATCTTAATTTTTTTTGTTTTGGTGAAAACTGTTTTAAAAATATTTTTACACGTTTTTTTCAAAGACTGATGAAGTATGTAAACATTGTACACGTTTTAAAATGTACCCTTGACTCTCCAGACTATATAGTCTATATATGGACACTAAGCAGCCTGTTTTAAATTCACTGCTTTTGTGATGTTACAAGACCAGCATATTTACATATATCTCCCTGTTCAGCCTTAGCAGTTTAGCTCCGCCCATTCATGCTGAAGTTATGAAGAGCATTTCAGCCCACACTGCTTTTTGAACAAAGCACAAAGCAGCCAATCAGAACAGAGCATATTTACATAGATCAGCCCTAAAGACACAGTAACAAAAACAGAAAATGGTCATGTAGAAGTGAATTATGACCGTTACATAAACTCACACAGACCTTATAAGTGTAATAAGTCATAAAAACTGGCGTCCCACTTTAGACACCAAACTATCAAAGCATCTGTTCACAAGCTTTGCTAAACCAGTTACTGGTAAATGAACCCTTTGAAGAGTTACTTGTCTTTCGTGTTTATGTAATTACATAATCAATTACATATTTAGTCACATAACAGGACATTTTCTTTTGATGTGCTGCATGGACAGGTTCAAGTCTGCACTTCTGACTTTTTCTGTTCTCATGTCAATAAATGACCAAAATTATGTTTTGGAACATTAAACTCAATTATAAATATTCAATACGGTATGCACACATTTTTTGATCAAAACAAAAATTTCAGGCTATTTTCAAATGTAAAAATATTTTTAAAAGCTTGGTGTATTGTTTATTATTTTTTATTGTCTGTGTTCCATTACTATACAAATTATTCATCCAATCACATTTGTGTATTCTGGCCCTTTTTAAAGTAATTCTAATTGCACCTGCGTCATTGAGCTGAAATGTGATGAGACTTGATATTTCATGATGCACTGAATCACTGTGAGCTCAGAGGTTTATAGCCCAATAGTGCACACTGATTGAGGAACACTGACTAGTGGGTTTTTGGTGTGATGGAGCACACAATGAACACTCATAACACAGGAGCATGATTTCACCACTGGAACACTTTCTCCAGCTCTAGAGTGCCTCAGTTAGCAATCAGTGTTAAATTACAGCTTTTGAGGCCCACTACTCTAAATTACACCATTATGGCTGCTTTCAGAAATTGATGTTTGTAACAACAAAAGCAGATCTGCAGTATAACAGTTCAGGAGATGACTGGCCAAAATATAGAATAACACAGTTCGGTTTAATGTTAAAACGATTGTGTTGTTAACATTTTAACATCACCCTGAACACGAAATGCAGCCTGTGAAAAAGTTCTGTTATATTTTGTTTTTTTCCCCCAATATGTTAAAGAGGATGTGTTAATTTATTTTCGCTTAGAAAATCAACAAAACATGCAATCTGATAATTTGACCAGTGGTGTTCAAACTTGTTCAAATATGTAAGTAGTGTTGAATTATGTGAATAATGGTATTGTGGAGTTGTGTATACACATACATACACACACACACATATATATATATATACATATATGTATATATATACATGTAAATAATACGTTTAATAATAATAAAAACATTTTACATTTTTATATTTTTTCAGTATGTGTGTTTTTTAAAGATCTCTTTGATTTCTTTATTTCTTTTAAGGTGAAGTTAAAAGATTTATATTCATGCTGTCCCATGTTTTTATCACTACTGAAACACAGAGTTTAAATCTGTAGGCGGAGCCTTGTTTTAGCCACATCCCTGCGTGAAGTAAATGTGTCCCAAAGCCTGAAAATCAGTGCGGAGCATTAAGAATTGTAACACATATTTTCTGCAATTAAATACCGTTTTGTGTTCAAAAATTATGATTTTATGTGTGTACAACTCTTCAGAGCTGTGTTTGCTAGTCTTGGCTAGCGTTTTTGAGTTCTGCTCAAAATGGGCTAAAATTGTCACTACTGAAACATTTGGTAAAGTTTCAGTAGTGTTATAATTGCTTTGGTAGTGACAAAATGGAATGTTCAGTCATTTATTTCAGCAAAATAATTAATATAATTAAGGTAGAGGGTCACTCAAAGCAAAGGCTTTTAGTCCAAGTCCAAGTCAGTTAAAAGTCTAAAATGTGTTTTGAACTCTGACTTTGAACCAATTCAGTATATTGATCCATATCACAGTGTTTACTGTAGAAATCTCTACTTTAAAAGAAGCCTTTTCATCCAAGCAGCGCTGCTACACTGCTGATCACTTTCATTGGCATTTTAAAGACGTTTTCAATGTTGGATCTATTTAAAAAAAAATGTATTTGTGATGTGAGAATTGACTCAGAGAATTCAGATGCATTTAAGAATCAATTATTTCTTCCTGCCTAGTGTTCTATATGCTTTAACTCAATCACAGTAATAAAACTCCTTAACTTTGTTGGTTAAACTGCAGCAGCTACAAAAGTGACTACACAGATAATACAGTGAGCTTACTCACCCCACACCCATGCTGCAGCTGCTAAGTTTCTACAAGCAACACTTTCCAAGTGGTCCGGGAAACCTCTGTTTGGGGTAAAGATGCTCTCAGCACCACTACGTCTCCTACAGTCTGATGACTAAAGCTGTTTTAAATCTGATATAAACACCTCCAGGCGAGAGCTCACAGGCTTTAAAACAATGGGAAGAACAAAACAAGAGAACTGAAGGTAAAATTTTCCTTTCCATGGCTTTAAACCCACTGATGTTCATGTCAGCGCGCTCAGCGAGCCCCCACTGAGCTGGACTGATGTAAGCCGCCATGATGTCATCACTGACTCACCCAGATTTGGAGAGGAGGTTCAGCCGTTAAATAGAATTTCACAGGGAGACATTTTTTCGTCATTGCTCAAAATAATTAACTAATCCAATCCAACATAATCCAACCAAATCATTCTAGACTACACATTAAACATTTGCAGAAAAATGGCAATTCTAACTTTTTTTTACATCACGATCTGCTTCTCACAAACCAAGAAATCCCAAACACTTTCACTGATGCTGAAGTCTGGACTCTGGGGTGGACAATCTATTGTTCTGAAAACACCAGCAGCTTCTTTGTTCGATTTTTGTCTGGATCAGATACTTCATCACTTTCCAATTACAGAGCCAACTACAAACAATCCTTTGTCTAAGGTGATGGAAAGAGTTTCTCAGGAGAAGTAGAAGAGATTTTCTTAGTAGAAATAATCTATATGAGTCTTACCAGTCTGGCTTTCACAACCTTCACACTACTCAGTCTACACTGTTAAGAGTTGAAGAGTTCATTTGCAGAAACATCTCCTTTTTAATGAATTGTCATAAATCATGTTTATTTATTTTGCACATCACTTAATATCAATCAAACTGCAGCTGAGTTGTTTTGATTAACTAAAAATAACATAACAAAATACAGATACCTCACAAAATAAAACTTTGCTGAAGAAGTTTTCTTTTATCATTTAATTTTTTTTTTGTTTGTTAAATAAAGCCATGTAATGGATACAAGTTTCTTTTAAGTACAACGTTTAACATTCTTTAACATAAAACAAGCAGGTAAAGTGCTGAAAATTGCAACAAAAACAGCCCATTAATGGTCAATATTAAACATCTGTAAGATCAGACCTCAGAAAATCCTAAAGCTGAACCTCAAATGACTCACTGCTCCCTACACAGTGCACTATGTGAGTTATGAAATGTTGGCTTTACACTTAAATATTGCACTTTGTGTCCAGTATGAATTGTGTACTCATGGCTCAATCTAAAGTGGTTCTTTGTTAGGCGCACTCTGTTCTGTTTAGATGCAGTAGCCATTATTTTAATACCTACGTACTGCACTTTGTTGGTAGAAAAGAGCCTTTTAAGATTCTGCCTAAAACGGTTCGCAGCAGTGTTGTGTCACCTGACCCCTATATTATGTGCTGATTCGCTGATATATCAAGCTCTTCTCAACTACGGCACTGGCGCTTGACCGTTTCTGTTTTAAAATGTGAACTTGACAATGGACAATAACGGCTTTTGTGACAAAAAAGTATTTAGTGTTGTGTATTAAGAATAACTCATGACTGTTAGTTTGTTTTGTTAAAGGATGGCATTTATCATTTTTTTGCAAATATAACTCTTCAGTTGTTGATGATCTACTTTCTACTGATGCTGGTTTTCATAATATTCTCATCCTCCTGGACCTCAGTGCAGCTTTGACATTGTGAACTATGACATACTTATTTCCAGACTTCTGTCCACGGGTATCTGAGGCTTAGCTTTTGATTGGTTTCCTGTCCTATCTTAATAACAGGCAACAGATCGTCTTTATAGGCACACAAAAGTCATTTAATGCCCCAGTTGCTCAGGGAGTGCCCCAAGGTTCTGTCTTTGGACTCCTGCTTTTTAAATCATATGTCTCTCCCCTAGGTCAGATCATTTAAAATCATGATCATCTTAAGATTTACTGTTCTGCAGGTGATATTCACATTTACATTAGCACTGCATGTATTACAGATTTAAAACACTGGAGGGATAATGATTTAACTAAATGCAGACAAAACTGAAGTCTTGTTGGTTGGCCCTAAAACACTGGTTTCAAACTTCTCCAGTCTCAATGTGAATGTTAATTGTGTTCCTATTCAATCAGTTCAAGTCATTAAAAACCTTGGCTTCACTTTTAATTCTTCACTTACATTCAAATTCCCTAAGTCATTCATGAAGACTACATTTTATTATCTGCGCAACATTGCACGCCTCCGCCCTCTGCTCAGCAACGTTGATGCCAAAATGCTGTAAACACCTTCATTTTCTCCCACATTGATTATTGCAACTTCCTGTTTAATGGTTTCCCTGTTAAAGTGCTCAATCGGCTTCAGTTCATTCAAAACTCAGCAGCCAGAGCCCTCCTCCATCAGCTTCACTGTTTACTAGTATCTCACTGTATCAAGTTGAAACTTCTCAGACTTTCAAATCCCTTCTTGGTCTCACCCCTACACACCTCACCTCTTTACTGTCCCTCTCGCTCCTCTGGCACTGGATTTCTTGCAGCATGAGACTCTCATCTGGTGGCAGGTCTTTCAGTGTTACTGCTCCTAAACTTTGGGACTCTCTCTCACAGTTTCCTCCTGACCCTCCCTTCCTTTAAAGCTCAACTGTACTGTATTTCATTTATGTGACATGACAAATAAACATGGAATTTGACCAGGGGTGCCAACTTTTGCATATGACTGTACATTTGACAGAGTTTGTATGTTCTTCATGTGTCTGTGTGGGTTTCCTTTGGGTGCTCTGGTTTCTCCCACATTTTGCCATATTTTTGGAGTTTCACTGCAAAACACTGATGTGCCTAACAACATCCCTTACTGGTAAAATTACTGTAACACATGGCCTCTCATGCATTGTTGCTTTGATGTCAAATTGAAAAGGAAGAAACAGAACTGGTTCTTACCTTTCACTTTTCTCTGCTTTGTCAAATCTCGAACTTATTTTTTCTTCACAACCCTCTACTTTTGGCAAGGTTTCTGTGTTCTCAGGCACAGCACTGAGACTCTTCTGGGGAGCCACAGACTTTCCATCCTTTTTGGAGGCCCGCTTTGTAGGCAAAGCTGGTTTATCTTTAGATTCTATGTTCAGAGGTACATCCTGTGGTATATGTGGATCTCCTGAAGGCTTTGAAGTTCCAGTGGATGGATCTGTGAGACATTGACCAGTGGCCACAGCTTGAGGTTCTTTGACTTGAGTAGGTTCTTGTGCCTGTATAGGTTGGTCCTTGGAGACTTCACTGGTCGACTCAACAGCTGGACCAGAGATATTCTTGGCTTTATTTTCTTCAGGGTCACTTGCTGTGGGCTTGGGGTTTACGGTGGTCCTTTCCAGGGTTGAGAAATCCTTCCCTGAAAGAGCACTCAGCAGAGGAGATTCACACACATAATCCACTGAAGGTTTCATGCTTTGGCTTCGGCTCAGGTGGCTGTTTTTGGTTTTTGATTTAACCTTAACACTCCTCTGCTCTTGCCCCTTAGCTTTGTTGCTCTTCTCCTTCTGCTTCTGGTGACGGGGCATGGTTCCCATGTGTGTGTACATGTCGCTGGAGCGGACGTAGCTGGGGCAGCGAGGGCGAGCGTCCATGTCATCAATGGACATTTCGCCGGCTGAAGGATGCTCAGTGGCGTCATCTTTTTGTGCGCCATCCTTCCCAGCATCAGATTTGCGCCGAAAAGAGAGGTTGGAAAGACTGCCAAACCATTTAAAACCTGGAAAAAGAAGAAACAATTAGCTCAATTTCAACTGTGATTAAAAAAAGGTTTTCCTTCTTATTTGAAAGAATCTTTGGACAAAGAAGACACTATTCATTTATTGTCGACTTGACCTTCCGATTGGGGAAAAAACATTTTGCAATTTTATAGAACTTTTGTAAGACAGGTAAGATGTAATAAAAACCTTGTGACTCAATTTTTTCTCTTTTCTTACACCAGCTGCCCTTTATATGCCTGGGTGATATCTAAAAGTAAGTAGCAAAGTATTTTATTGTTAAACATTTGAGATTATCTATTTAATCCCTCCAGTCCCACAATCCCACACCAGTCCAGTGTAGTTGTCTTCAAGCTGTCTTTAGCTTACATGTTTTTTGCAATAACTTTAAATCAGAGTACTAAATGTGCATGATCCTGTTCTTTACATATTTAAACATTAGGTGTTTTTATCTTTATAGCCATGTATGCTGATAGCTCCTCCTGCTGGAGAAACTCCAGACAGCTAAATGTGAATGAATGAGTGAGTGAGTTCCCAAGTCCATGTGCTTTATATATTTTAAAATGTCATAGCAAAAGACTTCTGGCATTCCGCTATAGAGGCTATAAAGTATTATATTTTCATAAGATCATACATTCATCTGAACAATCAGAAAACTTAAGCTGTACAGAAAATGCTAAGAATTGTCCTCAGATGGTATGTTGGTAGGTGTGAAATTACCAACAGAGACAGTGGAGAATTGTCTATTATTAATGCTCTGTAATGGTTTATTAACGCTCTGTAATAATGCATTTGAATAAAATGAACAAAATCTGCAAGGTAGTTAATATTATTTAGCAAGCTGTTTAAATTTAAAATAGCACATGTGAGTTCTCTGTCAGTTCCCTGTCCGAACATAGTGATTATCACCTCTGAAGCATTGTCAGTGGGTTAGTTGTTAATCATAGCCAACATGTGATTACAGGCCTACCACTTTACATTATCTGACCACCACAAGTGGTCCAAAATTGCTCAGAATAAAATCTCAATATATTTATATATCTTAAAAGATAGAAGAAGGTTTGTTCAGAGGTGTGGACTCAAGTCATATGACTTGGATTCGAGTCCAACTCAAGTCATGAATTTGATGGCTTTAGACTTGACTCGAGAAAATTGAGAAAGACGTGGGACTCGACTTTGACTTGAACACCAGTGACTGAGACTCTGACTCGAGCATGAGCTTCATGAATCAGAAAGACTTGAGACTCAAAGTGAAAGAAATGTGAAGAGTCTGACTGCAGATGGGACTCTCTACACAGCCGATTATGCTTCATGTGAATAAATTTGTTTCCTGCCGTGAATATAATCAACAGCAACATTGTCAGATGTCTGTTACTGTGCTGAGGCTCGGTTTATTTTATTTCGGAAGACAAGCGAAGCGCCAGAACTCAAGTTCACTTCCATAAGCTGGAAACAAGCGAAGCTTCAACAGCATCAATGCGCCCTCACTCAGCTCTTAAACTTTTACTGTAGAAACTCACCCGGTGAACTGACCATTTTCCTTATGATAGCAAAACAAAAGAAACACAGCTCTCTCTATCTGACCTATTTTAACAGCGTCTATATATATATATATATATATATATATATATATATATATATATATATATATATGTATATATAATTAAGTTCAGTAGTTCTTTTAAAATTCTTTTCATGTGTAGTGCACTAATATTTGTGTATACAGTATGCTTGTCACCATATCTGTGTACCATAGATTTTGTATTTTATTGCAAGGGCAAAAAAATAATAACAATAATAAAAAACATATATACAGATAAAAAAAATTAGACATTCAATTATTTAAAAAAACTTTGACAGAGACTAGAAAGAAAACATTTGTTCATGAGGTACACAACCAGGAAACAATTTGGCAACTTTTTTTGCACAAGTCTGGATGCATTCGGCCGGGTTGTTTTAAGGGCAGAAAGAAGCCATTCCATATTTGGTGCTGTCCTATTTGCCCACAGTACAGACTGATGTGATGGAGCGCATGAGATGTTCCCCTGTGGTCACCCCCACACATTCCCCACTCAGATTTCCTTTTACATGAGAGAGACACATTCCAGCTTTATAAATGTAAACCCATAAGCTCTGTTTTCCTCTGTAGGAGAGATTTGTGCTGTCAGCTGACTAAACCACAAAAATTTGTTTTGGATGGTGGCCATTTTAACACACTCCATGGATTACGATGTAAATTGGAATGCAGCCATACTAACTGTGTGAGGGATTCATATAAACCCAATGTGTGCTGTTTTCCATAGTTTTCATGAAAGGAGGGTTGAGTGAGATTGATAAAGCCTAAACATGCAGAAGGTTCCTCAAAATGAACACCTCTATTGAAACTTAGCAGCAATCTCAGAGCATTAAGAGCTGTAAAATAGGGGGGTATTGCTATAAATCATCATGTTTTCCATCCCAGAGAGGATTACTGTTTCCTGTCTCATATTCCCTGTTCTCTTTTGTCACAAATAATCAGACACTAATTTAGTAGGCTAAAAATAGTCTATAGGTTCTCGTGTTAAGCCTATTTATTCTTGGACTGAATTCTAGGAACAACTCATTATAAGTGATAATTAACAATAAATATTGAACATAATGAACATAATTATGTTCATTATCTAGTCTCAGACAAATGGCATACTTTAGGCATGCTATTTATTACATGCTATATTGATAGTAAATTGATACTGAAGTCATGACATCACAGCCATGGCTTAAATAAACTTTCCTTTAGTTTTTATTGTAATTTGGTTATAACATCAATGCAACTTGTTATGAATGTGTTCATAGATTCTGACAGACATGGTATTCTGCTTTTCACCCTGCATGTTATGTTGCCTGCTCATTCTTCAAGATCTGTTTCAGCAAAGATGAGGCCCCTCGAGTAGAGCTCATGAGTCAGCTTGTGTACTACTGACTTGTGTTCAGCAAACCATTTTTGTGTTGATCTGGACATACGTTTTGGATCATTGTCCTTCTAGAAGATATAGTGATGGGCTATTTTTAGTTTCCTGGCAGAGGCAGACAGATTTTGATTTAAATTGTCCTGGTATTTCCAGGAATTCTTAATGCCATGTACTCTAACAAGTTTCCCAGGGCCTTTGGAGGAAAAAACCCCCACAACATTACAGACCCTCCACCGTACTTAACAGTGGGTGTCAGGTTCTTTTCGGTGTAGTTGTCCTTCTTTTTACGCCATAGTGCCAAAAAGCTCATTTTTTGTTTCATCTCATCATAGAACACAGTTACACCCACAGTCCCAGTAGCATTTAGCAAACTCCAGATGCTTATGTTTGTGGTTAGATGACAGGAAGGGCTTTTTCCTGTCATGCCTTCCAACTAATCTGTTGGCATGGAGGTGGTAGTTTTAGAAACTTGGTGAACCCAAGATGCTGCTTTTTTCTGTAGCTCTCCAACAGTGGTCCTTGGGGATTTCTAGCCTTTCTTACCATCCTTCACATGGGGGCAAAGTAAACTTTGTCCAGGCAAGTTATATATAATATAATAAATTAAATTGTGACCTCTACATTATAATTATAATCTTATCAAATCTGAAAATGTGTATAATTACACCCATATTCTTAAAAGGAAATAAAACTGAATTTAGTTTCAAGATGATGCTCAGTTTTATTTCCTATTAAGAATATGGGTGTAGCAATATACATTTTCAGGTTTGATCTGGTTTTCAGACTCAGGGTCATGACTAATTTGATTTTCTATGTTTAATGTGTTGAAATCTCTTTGGAATAAAGGCCAATGAATGCTTCCATAGCATAAGCCCCATCCACTTTACTCTAATAGGCTGCACCGGACACATCACATTCTTTAGAAGCCCAGTGGTTTAGGTTGAAGACTGGTGGGGCTTTCTGTGGGTATTTAAATGCGGTTTAAAGAGGTCTCTTGATGGAAGTGTATATGTACTGAAATACTTGTGCACCAAATGTCCTGATTAATATATAGTCAAGTTTCTGCAAACCGTCTTTTTAAGCTCCTTAGTGCTTGTATGCATTTATCTGCTTGTATGTCTACTTAAAAAAAACTGTTTTGTCATTCCTCTGAGCAACGTGCACACAAAAAAACTATGACTGCACCATTTTACCTCACTACATTGAGGCTTCTGTGGTTAGTCCATATGTGCGCTGTGGTCAAAGCCTTGCAATTTTTCGGGTCATATGAGAACTTATGATCCTGTTTTTATGTTCATCTGTCTGTTCACACAGCCAGCTGTGACTAAGCAGCCTTTTAGTGCCCATTAACGTCTATTATAAGTGTGTTTTGAGTTGATTCATTTTTTTGTTTTTTTTTTGTGCTGTAAGTGCTGAGAAACATTTTTTTGTTTTTGTTTTGTTTGGTAATCAACTATAAGCTACAGATGTGGCAGATAAAGACCGCACTGAAAATGCAGAATAAAGTATCCCTTTAATAGAGTATTCCAAGCATCTGCCCTTTGGCTCATGTTATAAGTGTGATTTAAACTGATGGGTTTTCTGTCCTTTTACTAAAAACTGATATGAAAAAATGATAAGTGATCGGCCATAAGCTACGGATGCAGCAGAAAAATTGTGCCATATTCATTTACATAACATGAGTTACAGTGAAATTCCACTGATGTTTCAAACTTTCTGTAAAATTTAATGGCTAAGATGTAGACAAAGTAATTCAGAGTGGTTTGATGTGAAATGCACAGATCTAAAGAAACAGAAAACAGAAATTGTTCACAGTGTGGTGATAAGAACCAGACATCTGAAGAGTTTAATGCCTCTAAAAGTCTGAAGAGTTTAATGCCTCTAAAAGCCTCAGAAAGTTATTACATGTATTATTTATGAAGAAGACGCCAGATGCTGGAAACATCATTTTAAGAGAAGGTTTTGACCTAAAATGTTCCTTTTTGTATGAACTCATGGCGGAGGGGTACATGCAGGGTCTTGTAAGGCAACGTAGTCCCTAAAGAAACTCATTTTCAGATTTATAACTGTTTTACCATCATTAACAGTACATATAAACACTTACTGATCACTTTGATTAGTAAATAAAATGTCTATATCTGTGTTGTAGACATGGTGACCCCCGGTTCCTATCAGCACTGCTGTAAAGAAATCTGAGTCAGCAAAGTTTCTCTACAATGAACGATTTCACATCAAATCACTCTAATGACTTTGATCTGAGTGACTGACTAATGTAGAAATGTGTTTATTTCAATCTAAAGATCCAGTGCCAAGTCCAGGAGACATACCTCCCTGAAACAAAATACTACCGTCATCCCTGACTGAGTTATGCTAACTTCCAAATTCAAATTTTATTCTAATCCTGCCCCCCACCGTCCCGTCTAAAGTGAACTAAGAAAACAGATAAACATTGGAAGAACAGGTGTCGCCCCGTGGGTATAAAGCAGTCTATATTAGTAGGTCTGTTGCGGTTGGTCACCTTATGGAGTTCAAACTCTTGCTTATCTGTCAGTAACATCTGCCCACGAGGCTGCTCGATGGGGTTATTAGTCTTCCTGTAGAAACACACACACATGCACACCCATGCAGTCAAGTGTACTCACTTAGTTTGCGCTTGATCATGGTGTCCAGCTGTCACCGGGCAGGATGTTTACGGTCTTTCTGGAGTGTACTGGATAACCCTGCTGCCTGCGTATGGGTATGTGGACAGAAGTGCTGGCTGTACACTTCCGTTGCTCAGCGCTGCTGCTGCAGAGTAAGAAGCTTTGGTGTAATGCTTCCTGTGTGAAGCTGCATCGATGCATGCAGCCCCTTTGTGAGCGTGAGTGTGTGTGGTTGACTTACTTTGCCCTCACACACACATTGGACAGACAGATGTGCGAGGAAACCACACAGAAATGAATTTACTTGATTCAGATGTGCACATAATTTCCATATGAACAAAACATATTGCATTAAAACAGTTATAGCCAAAAGTATGTAAAGTGAAGCAACATTGTGTTTGTACATACATTTAGCAGTAAATCACACAGAAGCATCAACAACCAAGAATAATATAATTTTTTCACTGTTTAAAATGTGTCCAATGTGCCTTTATTACAGCTTCCACTCTTATCAGGAGAATGTCTTTCAGTTTTTCATAGACATTTGCAGGGATATTTTTCTATACCTCCAAAGTTCAGTCTTAGAAGTTGGTTGCATTTTTTGCTTCTCACCATCCAAATAATCCCCATTACAAATTTAGGCTCGTCAATTCATAATGTTTTACTTCACATACCAGATGTCCAGTTTCTAATCCAACATTCTTCTTTTTGTCTGTTTCCTTTTCTCAGTAAGAGCTTCTTGACAGCTACACATCCTTTCAGACTCATAGTATTGAGTTGTCCTCTCACAGTGGAAGGATGGACAGAAACACCTGTGGATTTTTTCAGACCTAAAGCAGTTTGATTTTCTCCTCTCTCTCAAAGACGAAAGCTTTAAGTGCTGTTTATCTGATGGGGTCAGTGTTGGTGGACTACCAGGTCTTACAGGTGGTTGTTAACAGTCCCATTGTCGCATTTGATCAAAACTCCAGTTTTGGAAACTCCTGTTTTGTTCCGCCTGTTTTTCTTTTACTTTATCTTTCAAATGCAAGTTTATCGTCTTATATGTGATCTCCTCAGAAATATCTCCATTATAGCCATTTCTTTCACATAAGCATTTAGGCAGCCACTGTGTGAGTGTTTTACTTTTAATGTAAGTCAATGGAATCAGACATTTTTCCAATATAAAGGGCAACAGGTATTTTAAAATTATGTCAAAAACTGAAAAACGATAAAAAAGGAGATACGAGGTTTTCTTCTGACATATATGTGTATATATATACATATATATATATACACACACACACACACACACACACACACACATAAAAAAAAGGTTCTTCCATTTTGGTGCTATACAGAATTCTTTTCATAAGATTTCTTTAAGCACCACATGCAAAATATTCTTTATCAACCTGAAGAACCATTTTATCATGCAAACCATTTTCTTTACTAAAGAACCCTTGAAGAACCGTTTTTTCAAATTGTTCATACTTGCTAACCTACATTATACTAAGTGTTGTAGGCTTCTGTGTAATTTCTGATAAATATATGTTTCCTGCTGAAAAATGAATAACTTGAAGAGATGAATAAATTATTCAACGCAAAATGGCTTTACTGCATTTAAAATAAAAAGTAACCAAACCTGCACATTATATCATGCCTTGAGTGGAAGGAATAGACTGCTTGCTCTGACTTCCTAGGTTTCTATATTTTCTATTTCAACAAAGTCTAAATCAACATAACAACACACAGCCCAAAACTCAGCCCACGATGCAAAATAATCCATGCATAGATTGTGTGTCATAGTGCAGGAAGTTGTGTCAGCCTACGTGGTATTTTGAAACAGTCAGCGCTGACACTGGGTCACAGCACTGGGTCACAGCAAACATTTTGGGGTAGTGATCTACACTCTCTGTGTACACACATTAAAAACATAGGGACGCATTAAAAACAAATGGTTGTATATATATATATATATATATATATATATATATATATATATATAATCATATTACACATACTAGACATTTTATACCGTGTCAGTGGGGAACCCTCAGGGCCTTCTGGGTGTTCAGAGACAACTTAATTTTTGTGAAAGAAAAAAACTACATTTCATAATTTTTTAAAATATTTTTTTAAACTCTCAAGTATTGTAACAATAAAGTTTTGGTTGGAAACAAAAGGATTCAAAAATGCCCAACGGAAAACCTACTATTTTTTTTCTCTGTGGTATCTCGGTAGATATAGCCAGGCTAGCTATTGGAGTCATTGTGAACCTGCCTTAAGTCAAAATATATATTAATATGTATGTTACAAGCTTTTAGTGTACGTGTTCAGTCTAGAACAACCAAAGAAGTTCATGTAAATCGCTGTTAGCTTGAACTAAAATCTCATAGAAAAAAGTGCTAGCAGAAATTAGTGCTATTGTAAAGGTGTTTTTTCTCTCATCTTTGACTGAGCCCAAACTGAAGGCCTAGCTCTAAAAGACCACTGTGTTCAGCATTGTATAACATGATATATCAAGGATAGTTTACATACATTATGTAACATATCACTGCTGTTGGAGCAAAACCACTTATCTACAAAATGATAAATGGTTACCATAAGTGGTAAGTCAATGGATCCAGACTTCTTTTCAAGTCATTTTGGGCCATTTCTTTTAGTCCATTTTTTATAAAAATTATACACAATGAAAAGGATGACAAGCATTTTCACACAGAGTCAAAAACTAAAAAATGAAAATGGAGATACAAGGTTTTTGATAAACTAGATGAACAAGTTTCTTCAGTATAAAATGCAACTGCATTTAATGTCATCTGATATACATTCAGTTTTCAGTTAGTCTAATCATTTTTTTGGTTTAATAGCATTTGTTTCCTGACTACAAAACTGTACCAAGTAGAGCTTAAAAGGTAGTAACTGACTTTACTTCAGCACTTTGACGCCAACACATTAAACATTAAGAAAGACAGAAATGTGCGTTCTTTTCTGCAAGTGTATCTTCACTTACTGCAACTTGCAAGCAGATAAAAAAGTTTGAGAAGAAGTGAAATATTTCTCATCTCACTTCCTCTTCCTTCACTGATCTGCAATGGGTGCGACTTCCTGTTAGAGGCTGTAGTGTATGTGTGTGTGTGTGTGTGGGTGTGTGTGTGTGTGTGTGTGCGCGCATGTCTGTGTGCGTGTGTACGTGCTGCTGTGAGCTTGTGAGAAACGCCTGTTGCATGCAAAAGCAATCTCTGAGTTTCATCTGTAGATATCTAACTAAAAAAGTGTTGATTTTAAATGAAATCTTAGTCTCAACTTAACGCATGAGGTCATCAGAGGGTTATTTCTCAGAATGCACCATCAGTACCCTTATCTCATACCCTTATCTTATGTCTGATAACATGCAGTGGAAGATATTTGAAGGATTTTGTCAAAGAGATCCCTGGTTCTCAGTAGGGCGTTGCTCAGTCGACTAATTGGCTAAGAAATCCTCTGCTGGCCTGAAATACAGCAAACTGCAGTGAACAGGCCGGAAAACAGGCTTAGGGTGGACATACAACAGGAGATTAAACCAATTCTATTGAAAGCCCAGTAAAACTTTCCTGAAACATAGACTTGTAAGCTAGACCAGGCACGTTTTGAGAGGCAACGTCTCTAAAAAGAAAGAACCATTCGACTGACACCAAATCGACCAATCACAGAACAAAAACAATCTGGTGCCAGATAAAGTGGAGTAGCTGTTGACAAACCTATGACAAATGTACTAAAAATGTTTAAAAACAAGATTCATGGCCTTCTTAAAATGATATTGCATGAATGTTTTCTGGTTCTGCGACTGTATCTCGCTCTGATTGGCTTCCCATAGATTCAAACAATTAGCTCAATAAGCAATCATTTCTGACTGATAAAGCCAGCTCACAGAAGTGTGGGCAGCCAGAACCAGTTTAAATTCTGCGTGAGATGTGAGTTCCTGAGAGCTGCGGTGATTCTAGCGTGCAGTTTACTTCAGACAGTCTGTGTATATCTTTATGCAGAGAGTCCGTGGCTGAAACTCTTCTGGAGTGCGGGTCTCACACCTCAAACCACATGTCTGTTTTTTATTTTATATTATTTTTAACCTTCACATATAGTGCACTTTAATATTGTGCAGTTTAGTGTGTATACTTTTCCCTCATCAATATTAATCCTTTTCAGTAATTTTCAGTCATTCTGAAGCCTGTCTTTATGTTTTTAACACTCACTTTTTAGTTCATAATTCAAAAGACATCATGTATGTGAATTTGAAGCAGATGCATGCACTGAAGCCATATTAAATGACAACAACAAAAGTGTCTAAATGTGTTGCATGAATGCAATTCAATTATGCCACACATTTCCAATCAGTCATATAGAGTAGAGTCACTGCATGCAGACTTCAGGAAAACATAAAACTTCAACTGTTGATAGAACAAAATTGAGACATTTCAGTGCAGTGGAATTCTCTATGGGTCAAAATAATAGTTATCACTCACTGAAATGTACTTTCATGCATGCACACCAACAGGTCTTTGTGTAGATGATGGAGACAAAGAATGGATAATGGTCAAGATGTTACGTGAGACAGAGTTAAGAGATTAATGTGGGGCAGGACAAAACACTTTTTAAAAGCTATCAAGGGGTCAGGTCAAGGCAAATTGGTTTGAATATCACATTAGTCACTACTTAATTGAAAATGAACACTGTTTCTTTCAAAAGTCCATTCGCAGTTATAATGTACATAAAATCAGAAATAATCAACAGTCAAACTGACTGTGTTGACTCATGTATGTATCTGAGAAACTTACCACCATTACATTAATAAAACCACAATGAAATCATTTTACCCTGTTAAGAATTTTGTAATATGCAAAACCCCAAACAAGAATTACTGCAGTTGACAGGCCAGCTTTCACCACACAAACAAGCAGAAGTATTTCTGGTACATTCACTACAGCCTCTAGTAATTGGAAGCGCTAGTCATTGGGAGGCCATAGTTGTGCAAGTTGATTGCTTTTTTCTAAATGTGGTTTTACGCCTGAGACCAGGCACAGATATAAACCTCTGAATTTAATTATGACACTCTTTACTAGATTATTCAAGCCCACCTTGAGCTATTTGTGTTTCAACCAGACACGTCTTCA